ATTTCACTTATAACCATAGCTAACTCTATTGCTGCTTCGTTTTCATAAGAGTAATGATATGCTTCAACCAGAAAATTAATCAGCCTTGTCTCTGAGGCTGCTGTTCATCAGCACATGGCATTATTTGGGGAAGCCTTCTGCCCTGAACCTTCTAGGGTGGGTGTCACTGCTGCACAGTCACTGCACCGCTTCTGCCTCTTCACCTCTTCCCTTGAAGAGGTAATTTCACTCCTGTGCATAAACCCTCTCCCTGCTGCAGAGGTAGTGCTTCTGGATGTTTTACACTTCAAAAATACCAGCAAGAGCCAGATTATGTTTGTCTATTGGATTTCTGTTGATATTAACGTTCCTTGCATTCCACTGAAATGACAAAAATATTACTTTATATGTACTGACTGGAGAAAAAAAGAGAACGTTGGGTAAAAAAAATACACCCTATGATCTTATCCATCTTCTCTTTGCTATTTCCAACTACTTAGAGCATAATGTCACACTGAAACGCACACTTGGAGTGCTGCATTCTCTTCTCCTGACAGATTGTTATGATGTTTTCCAAGGTGACCTTCATAAAACATGTTTCTTTTGAAGCTTATATTTCACTCTCAGGTCATAATAGTTTCACATAGACAAGCAAACTGTCAGCTCCTGCTTTCTAATTAATGGTTCTTGGAGGCTTTTGAGTAGGGGATATAATTAATAGCACTTAAGCCTGGAGCACAGAGAAATCTATAGCTGATTACTAGGATGTATATTTACTTAGGGATTATATGCAAACAGATCCCAAGTGCAGCCATGAACAGCTCTTGACAATCTTCTCCAGGAAGTCTTCAGGACCAGGCACCAGTCTTATGCCAGTGTAAGCACTCAAAAAATTGCCTCCTGTGACTGAGGAGCTGTACCCTCAAGACCAGGAGACAGCCTGCTCGGGGGTTTGTAGTGCCCAGCTACAGCATCTTCTAGAGCAGCCTGGCTGTGTTCTCACAGCACGGCATGTGTGCCAAATCCACCCTGTGGATTCACTCCAAGGCATAATAATTTTGTGTTTTATTTAGTTTAAAGCACTAGAAATAATGGGAGGGGTCTTCTTACAGCAAAGAAGTGTGTTGCGAACCATCTTATCGTATTTGCCTATATTTAAGGAGAGTGAAGGGATTGCTCTGGTGGTCACTCTCACACATGCAGCATGGATTGTGAGAGGTGCTGGAGCAAAACCAAATGCAAACCAGATTGCCAGCTTAAATTCTCTCTGGTCAGCTGCTGCTAACAGTGGTATTTTCCCTGCTGAAGTCAATCGAACAGCATCTTTTCATGCATGCTGAGATCTTGGTGCAGAAGAGGCAGCTGTAAGGCAGGATGAGTGCTCTAAAAGAATGAGATCATCTTTTTCACAATGGGGAGAAAAAAAAGGAATAAAATTCGTATTCTCTTACAAAGTTGAAAAGACTATTCTCCAGAAAGATTGCCAGACTGGGGATGAAGGGGAGAACTGATATGAGAAATCCTGCACTCTTGTGCAGCCCACATTGTTTGGAGAGATTTTTAAACGAATTTTGCATGTTGAATGACACAAAATATTCAGATAATTAAGCAATTAACAGCTATTGAATATTTGTAACTCAAAAAATCACTAGGCAACAGAATATCACTGTCAACCCCCTTATGCAAAGGGACGTTTTGACATCGTACTTAAGACTGACTACTTTTCCAATGGCATAAAAGTATTACTTCAATTATGCATAAAATAGGAAAACTTCTACTGAAACTTGTGCAGCCTGGTTCTTTCTTCAGAAACAACAACACAGAGTGAAACTGCCTTTGAAGAGAAATATTTTTCACATCTTATCTGAAGGTTAGTAACTCTTTTAATCTTTAGCCTTTTTGCTGGCATGTGTAATTTAAAATGCACAAAACAGACTATCAAAACACCCAGCTATAGATAGCTAGAAAATTTAAAAGGTATGTCTAAAAATAGGCTTGGAAATTAAGATGCTCTGTGCATCAAAACTTGCTCTTGAGCGAGGACTGTTTCCCTGCGGATCCACCTCAAAGACCGACCAGTTATCCCACAAACTGACCACGTGACGGCCAACACTAAATGAGGAATGGCTTCTAAAGAGGTCAAATCTTGGTGCTACAAGCAAGAGAGTGACTAACTGGGGCAACTATATATTAAATATCCTTTTCACAGAAAATCTTTTTTCCTTTTCTTGTCCTCCTCCAGAGCCACATGAAGTTGTGCTGAACTTCAGCTCTGCAGACACAGCGCCATGAACAGCCCTGCAGAGACTGCACGTGCTTGGGGGGGTCAAGAAGTGACATGTCCTTCTGATGAGATGGGATACAGCAGCATGGGGACGTGCAGTGAAAGACCAGAAACACGGGCAAAACACAAGTTTCTTCACTGATTCTAGTTTCATTTACTCTAGGCAGTTGTACGCATGAATTAATTATTTTAAGACAAGTATTTTCTTAAGGGTGTAAACTTAGCAAGGCTAAGTGGGGGTCATTTCTTTAAGCAAGTGGCTGGACATTTCTGAGCATCTGGGGGCTGGTGTAGAAGCACTCAGCTGTGGCTGTCCAACCAGCTCAGAGGGATCAGCACCAGCAAACGTATTAGGAATAGATTCTAGAGCTTCTTACCTTGTTCAAGTATTTCTTAGGAAAAAGAAAAGTCACCTGCAAGTCCTTCTTCATCAGATAGTCTATAAATACAGGTAAAAGGTGCTACTGTACCTAGTCAAGTCGTATAGGAATTGTGACAGTTGGTGAAGGACTTGTGATAAATGTAAGGGTAGCTGGGGTCTGTCCAGGCTAATCTAGCTGAGCTGGACTGCTTTGAACAAAATACTTAAGTAGAAAAGTAATGCATGAGGCCTTAAAAATTGCCATTTATTGGCTCCAAAACACCCACATTCAGCTCTTTCTGACTTTCCCTGTGCCGCATGAAAAAAACTCAAGTCAAATAGCATCCAGGTAAACTTATAAATAGCAAAATAAATCCTTTGTAGGTGAAAAACAAAAATAGCTTTGAAGAAGGATGCAGATAACCTTGTTAATTTGCCAAAAGTTTTCAATCTTCATCACTTCAGAAGCAAGGTTAAGAGAGTAGATAAAGGCTGAGAAACTCAGAAGGTGCTCGGATGTACCTTTATCTCAGGTTCAGAGCCTTAAGCCTCAGAAGCAAAACAACATCAGGGAGAAGAGACTGACAGTGATGCCTTGTGTGGGGAATCAAGGGTTGGGAGGACTGCCTGTACTAGGCAAAATACTCTCATGATAATGATGCCAGTAAGATTTAATTTACCAGTTTGTTCTAGGAAAGGTAATGACCTTAATATCATGGAGAACTTATCAAGAGGTCATCCATGCAGACACACAGTGATTTATTTTCATAATAAATGGAAATAAGAGCCCAGCCACATGAATTTGCTCGCAGGAATGAATTTATACCATCTAGCCAGCTTTGTGTTTAGTATCAGAAGAGCCTAAGAACATGTTATTGATGTGTGGTGATTTAATTCCAACTCTTTTGAGAATCTCCGCAGAAAAGCATTTCAAATTCATTTCTAACCAGACCAAAAAACCCACCCTCAAAACCTACCAAATAAGTAACGGGGAACAGCATCACACTGGATTGCAGCATTTTACCCTAAGTGCTGTTCATTTCCTGCTGTGCCACAGATGAAGCACTACATAACGCCTCTGTGCGTAGAGTGCTTACATGTGCATTACCTGAGGATATGCTCTTTCTGGCTGAGTAATTCATTTTTGAGAAGCATATTTCTGAGAAGGTGAAAAATGAGTGTCTAATTACAAATCCAGCAGCCACTGCAGAAACTTGACCGTGTAGTCCAAACTCTGCTGCTCCAGATGCTGGAGGTCCCTCGGTCCCAGATGCCGAGGACAAGTTTCCTTGGGAACTATGTGTTACACAGCTTTCTCTGTGCCAGTCCACAGAAGTGTTGGCACAGCTAATTTGATGGGAGCAAGAGCACGGTCATCATACAAGAAAAAAAATGGAGAGGAAAGAGTCCCATGAGCCATCCCAAACAGAGGTGACAGCACGGCACAGGGGACAAGAACTGCCACGTAAGTGTGCCACGCACACGCTATGTAGTTTAGCTCAAGATTTCTCAAGCTGGGCTGCAAGCAGTGAGTCACAGGCAGAGAGGAAGGATATTTATGAGATTTCAGTTCTTCAGAGGAAAAAACATGAAAGTCAGAAATGACAGAGAAATGAGAGCGCTGGATGATGGCGAACAACATATGGGGAACAGGGGAGAGGGAGCTTTTGGCATCATTGCTGCCGCGTACATCCCAGAGTAACTCATATTGATCTCCAGGGGCCAGTTCATTTCTCCTGGAAGAATCTGGCTTCTGGGACTCCAGGTACAAAATTAAAAACTCTCAATTTCTACAGCACCAATGTTAACGTTTGCCGAGTGTTTTCTATTCCTCCCTGCAAATCTTCTTTCTTTTAGGGACAGTGGAAAATTTAACAGAACAGGCAATTTTCCAGAAGGCTTAATTCTGAAAGTTGAACTGATCAGATTATTTAAGATTTGCCAAATGAAGTTAGCATTTGCTTATCTAGTCTATAGTCTGAATTCTGCTGGGATTTTGTATGTCTAGGTGCATATGCACATCTGGGGGTACACAGGCACAGTGGTTTTCAACTCATCAGAGAAGTGCCAGGGCTATTTTCAGTTCTAAAAATGCAGGGAGGATACGTTAAGTTAGACGCTCCTCAAGTAACTGCTCATGATTCTGACTTCCAGATATATTATTTTTTGCTGTCTGGAAATTAAATGCTTTAGGATGGTGCTGATTTGTTCAAGGAGGAGTGTGTTACTTCAGCCACTGTTGGAGTGCGTGTCCTTTTGGAAAAAACACAACCCTAAGAGCTTTCATTCCTTTTGTTCTGTTCGACTTATTCTCTGTCCCTAAGAAGCCTATGGAGGACTGAGCAGAGTTTTAAGTTAATGTGTAAATAATTACCTTTAATTTTCCTGAAAATACTTCTTCAGAGTTGCTGCTTCAGCTGCCATTTCTTCTTCTGTTCTCCACTTGTCAGCGGAATCCTCTTTATCATGTCGTTGCAACTTTTATGAGAGAGGAAAAAGAAAAAATGGTTTGTTGATATTTTTTCCAGTTTTATTGTCAAATTCAGGGCATGCCTGTATGCAGCTAATCTAACTATTCCATATGTCCGTGGGATGGAGGGACCTGGTGATGAAGAGATGGAGGGTGAAGGTTACTGGTTTAGAGCGGTGACAGTAGGTAACTGGCTGTGATGGGTTTATGATGATAACACAAGGTGTCGGGGTGATTGATAGGCAGCAACTGCGTTCACCTTTGTGAGCTGATGGTCAAATACTTTGCAAGTATTGATGCAAAGTAGGTAAGGTAACAGGATAACAAACACACTCAGGTGTTTTGAAGTACCCATTACATCTGTGGAGTGAGCCTGGCAGAAGCTACCTGGACACCTTGTCAGTAATTAATGTAAAATTTTCTCTCTGGCTTTTCCCTTGCCAATGGGGCCACCTTCCACATCAAAGACCTATTGTGGTAACAAGGCCCTGTTGTAGCTGTTTCCCACCAGCAGTTTATACCACAGAAGAGATGCATTCCCTCCCTGCGTGCAAGTTATCAGTCCTTCCCTACCACTGTTGAAAGTGAGACACATCCCTAAACCAGAAACAAAACCTGGTCTTTTAAACAGAACTATATTTCACAGGTGATTCATTGGGGAAAAATATCAAAAGTATTTGAAACAGTTAATTTTTGCATCTAGCTTGCATAATATACCCACGAAAATAAGTTCTATTCCATATACAGTAAGTATTAAGTGTTATTATCTCAGGCATGACAATTTCAAACACATCCTTTATCTCTCCAGAAGAAAGGAGAAGCTGATGGTTTTGCTGCTCTCCAGAAGAACAGAGTTCTGTTTTATGGTAAATATAATGTGCCAGCACTTGAGTGACTATTTGTACACAGGTCCACTCAAAGAATGTCTGCCACTCATCAAGGGAAGACTGCATTTACAACAGACAGCAGGAACACGTGCATTAACAGCTTAAATACTGAGATTTCCAGTGTGCCTCTAGGTGCAGAGCACAGTGCAGATTGTATTAACAGCACCAGTGTTTCTGAGAAAAATTGTAATATCAACTTTTTGTCAATGTCACAAAGACAGAAATTAATGAATTTACACCTTTTATTCCTGGACAGATTTTAGTACAGAAGAGGAAGCAGAGAAAAACAAAGATGAAGCAACACTGAACCTGCCAAGCAACCTGCATGACTGGATGTGGCACGTTTAGCAATAAACCAGGATTGTTAGCATACATCCAACTCACAAATACTTTTCTTTGTGCTCTGTTTCTCCTACTCTGAATTTTGCTGCCAGCTATAGTCCTATGTAGTTTTACATTCTGCAGCACAGATTTCTTCCTGCTCAGCAGATGAAGCTGCATTAGAAAGCTATTTCCTTTCATGCCAATACGATGCAGTAGCTGTAGGCAAATTAAAGTGTATTACTGTTCGACTAGTAGAAGACTAATCTTCATTGTTACATTAGCTCTAGGTGTGTTATAAATCCATCTTGTAACAATGCTATGGTATTATGGAGAAAGATTTAAAAGTCAGGAGCAGGCACAGCGTATATACGCTGTCACCCGCATCCTTTGTGTCCCTGTGCCTGCTCTCACCTGCTGTACACACCTATATGGTGTAGAGGTACCACAGCTGAGCTGGCAATGAGAGGGAGTTACAGGAAACAGCACACATCACCCTGTACTTTCCATGGGCTGGGAGCTCTTACACTTCACAAGAGGATGCACCAGGACAAGCCAAGCGGTGGTAAATCAATTGTCTGTCTGAGGTGTGAGCTGGTTTGCTAACAAAGCAATGTCTTGCTCATCCAGCCTAGCATCAGCAGGAGACAGGGCAGGCAACAGCCAGAGGGCGAGGGAGGGCAGCCCCTGTTCCTCAAGGTCTCCTTGTTTAACCTGCAAGAAGTGCGTTTAGTGATGGGATTTGGCTGCTGTTCCCCTTGCTGTCCTGTTTCTGCACAATCCCGGTGAGAGCTGACTCCAGGAGGAGATGTGTAAAGTGGGGATTTGACTTGTAATTTTTATTTCTGTTTTCCCTGTTCAAGGAAACTGAGGTGAACAGTGATAAGGCGGCATATCCCGAAATGGCTGTTGTTGTTGTTGTCTAAATTAAAACTGTACAACGCTGCAGCCCACGGTGACTTCTCAAAGCGGGCAAAGGAGAGGGTTTCTTTTGCTACATAACTGCTAACCTTTAAAAATAATCAATCTTTGACTTAAGGTTAAAGCAGATATATGGGGAGCAGCAATGAATTTTGAAACTTGCCTGGAAACCCAACCTACATCAGCAGCCCTGGCTCCTGGTACCACAGCAAGCCCCAGCCTGGCAGGAAAATGCTCAACACAGCCTTACCCTGCTCTGCCCCAGCAGGCGTTCACATGCCGCTTGTACTGAGAAGATGTATCCACATTTTGTGGATACATGCAGTATGAAAAACAAGAAACTGTTCTGTTAAATCAGTGCCACAGTCAACGTCTTCATTGTTCAACTGACTTAAGGATAAATGTTATTTCAGTATAAAATTGCTATGTCTACCCAAACAGGATATCGGGACTATTCTGCATTCAAACCTCTGTGTTAGTAATTTCTGAAGTGCAATAAGCAATTATCACCCCAATGCCACTTAGTTTCTGATATTATCTAACCACCACTGTGCAGATTTGGAAAACTGTCTCTGGCAGCTGCCTGCCCTTCCTCTGCTACCACCATCCTGCAGCTCCAGTACAACCCAAATGGCATAGCCAGCCACTTTGAAGCACAGTCGTTAAATTACAAATAACCTTGCTAGAAGATGTTCTGGATGCTAAACAGTATGCAGGTTCAAGATCAACAGTACCAATAAACAGAAGACAAATAAATTAAGGGCTACTGATGCCACCTCTGGTTCAGGGATTCTGCACACCACACATTAACGGAGGCTGGAGAAAACAACGGAGGCACATCTGTGCACCTGCCTGCTTCTTCAGATCTTCTCTTAACAGCTGCTAGAGGTCTCCAATGGTGACAAGATACTGGGATCATGGACGGGTTTGGTTTCAGCTAGTTATTTCATGTGTTCATAAGTAAGGTGCTTTTCAACCAGATTCAGATCTCTGTGTGAGGGTCTCAGTAAGCAAGAGCTACTTTATTAGCCTCTTTTTAAAAAAACTTTTAAGACAGTTTCCATAGAATTTTGGCTGAGTTAGAAAGCTACTTTCAGGGAAGAAGAACATACACATTTCAGTCTTAAATTGTATTGATTCAGAATTCAGGTGGGAAACAAACATAACAGTCGATACTTGTTTCTGAGGGACTTCTGTGCCTTGGAGTGTGTTCATACTCAGACGCACAGGCAAGTCCCAGCCCCGCATCCTTACAAACAGCTGACATGCTATTGAAAGTTTGGATTATACAGGGGAAGCGATGCCCTCCTGCACCTGGAGAACACTCCAAGGTTCTGCTCAAAGCAAAAGGAAAAAAATACACCTATTTGTCAGCTATCTATCTGTAAAAACTAGTGATTTCCCCTTGTTTTTTCCCCAGTTGGAAAAAGCTGGAGAACTTGAGCTGCATTCCTTACTCAGACAGAGATATTAAAACACAGGCTAGCTTGAAGTCTGTGATACTTTCTGTACAACAATTCTACTTCTGCAAGCTCTGAAAAGAAAAAGAAATCTTATCCAGAGCCCCACATCGTCTGGCTGACATGATTTTCTGTGAGAGATGTTTTGCCCAGATTTCCCTGGTGGAGACTGACTGATGCACATCCTCTCAAAACCACTTTTGCTTCCTTTTCTCTGGGATTCCTGGGACAGGGCTTCCGTACTACCCAAAAGCCCCTAAACAACAACTGTTGCCCTTCTTGCAATAAATGCTTCTAGAAGAAACCACTCACCTTCAGAATCCCTTCCGAGCAAATGTCTGTGTTTCCAGTTGTGACAAGCAGTTGCTATTTCAAGTGAGCTGAAAATAGCACACGGTGAGGTTACAAGAGTCACTTCTGTGCAAAACACTGAACTAAAGGGGATGGATTTTGCTCAGGGTCTTTCAGGGACATCTGTGGGGTGATGGGTGTACCACCAGGGGCTTTTGCAGAGCTCTGCAGCACACCGGGCTCTCCTGACAAGCATTTTTTTGGGGTAATAGAGGATTTGTTGTCTCCCCTGAAACTCAGGTCCCCTCTAGATGTGGAGCAGAAGAGTGGGGAAGCACAGCCTGTTCTCAGCAAAATAGGAAGATATAACAACTTGAAAAAAAACAAACCAAAACAAGAAAAAAAAAAAAAAAGCTACAAGCTTTGTGTGAGCCTGGCTGGAACAGAGACAATAAACACCAAACGACAAGGGAGGGATCTCTGTAGTATTTTATAGCAACATGAGCTTCATGTTCCAACTCTAACCAAATCTTTCCTGTAAGGCTGCACCCTAAGAAGCAGTGTTCCTTGGTATCTGGACAGCAATTCCAAGAGGGGTCTGCCCAAAGGCAGCCTGGCATCGCTGCAGGCCAGAGTGCACATCAGGGCACGGACTGCACAGGTGACCATCTATGAAACCTTTTCCAGACAGCTCCAAGCTAGTTACCATCTTAAACCTGCTGCTACTTTGCCTGCTTTTGTAAGAGAAAAGTGATGCAAAAACCACCACATCAGACAGACACATTCTACTGCAAAGCTCAGAAAACCCCAAATTCTCTGAAGCCAAATGCAAACCGGCTGTTGTATTACAGGGGTGTCTCAGAAGTGCAAACGTTAACACAAAGGCAAGCAACCAGATCAGCCGTAGCTCAGATAACTCTGAAAGGAGAGGAGAGGAGAGGATGGGAGAGCACAGATGTTTCTTTCAGACAATCTCTGTTATGCTAACTTTTTCTTTTAATATTCTGGCCAAGCACTGAGACACACATTAGTCAATTCTCTAATCGCAGTTGCCCAGCAAATTACACACTGTATCCGTTCAACATTCTTCAAGCACTAAGACTCTTGTTTATAACTTAGTACATCTTC